TAATAATAATATACTTTCCATTTATTAATCGCTTTCCCCAGTGGGCTCAAAGCGATGTACAGTTACTCAGTATAGACAAGGGACTAACAATGTTTGTAGGGGAAAGGGAAGACAACATATATTCATTTAATTGCACACGCCTCACTGCCCGGTGTAGACTTCTTCTGCCTTGGCTCCGCACGGCTGCTTGTTTGAAATGGATGCCTGGGGGGGGGGGACCTGTGGCACTGTGCTGCAATGCTCCCTCTAAGCTATGGAGTCTTGTGAGCAAAGATTCTATTCTGTGAGCTACCGGCATTAAAGTTGTGAGCAGGCAATTTGGCTACTGCATCAATTAGTTTGCCCTGGAGCCATTCTTCCTGAGCGTAGACAAAAACGTGTGAGCCAGAGGTTAAAAAAACTGTGCGCTAGCTCACACTGACTCAGCTTAGAGGGAACACTGGTTGCCAGATCTGGGTTGGAAAATACCTGGAGACTTTGGGGATGGATCCAGGAGAGGGCGGGGTTTGGGGAGGGGAGGGGCCTCAGCCTGGTACAATGCCATAGAGTCCACCCTTCAAAGCAGTCATTTTCTCCAGTGGAGCTGACCTCTGTCAGCTGGAGATCAGTTGTGAAAGTGGGATTTCCCCAGGCCCCACCTGGAGACTGTCAACTCTACACTGTACCACACTGAGGTCCCTGTCCTCCCCAGACTCCATCCCTGAAACTCCAGGAGCTTCCCAACCTGGATCTGACAACCTGACCCCCCGCCATCCCCCCACCGGTGGCTAGGGAGGACCTGGCATCCCTACCAGTTGTACGCCAAGGCACTGCCAACTTTCTCGGCTGGCTGTTGGCAACTTTCCGGCCTGCTGTTGGCAAGACTTAGGGCGGCGATAACAGGGGGTGTTGCAGTCCCGAGGATTCTCTTGGGCTGCCAGTGAGCCATCAAGCACGGTGGGGGAAATGTTCTGGCGGGGATGTGGAGGCAACACCCGGTCTCCACGGGGTTCAGCCGCCCTCCCAGAAACAGAAGGCTGTCCAAATGTGGGCTGCGCAGTCTCTCCGCAATCGCCCCAAGTGAGAGGGGGGTCCAGCTGGATTCTTTGCGGCTCCTCAGACTCGTGGCAAGAGAGCTCTGCTGCAGCGTGGGAGGGTGAGCGGTGCACAATCCCTTGCGTTCCCGAGCCACGGGCCCTGTAGGGTTTAGGGGACTGCACACCTCAACACTGTTGCAGAGGCACCTGTGCTAATGCATGGGGCAGTTAGACTGTTTCGCGCTCTCCATGCCAGGGTTTCCGTCTCTTTCCATGCCACTCTCCGGCACTGACGCCCCTATTCCTTTGCTGCTGCAGGCGCCCGCTGACCAGCTCCCCTGCGTGGCCGGTGGCAACGAAGGGCATGGCCGCAGTTTGGCAGCAGGTTTTGGCTGTTGATGCAAGGTAAGTGTGACGGGGGTGGTTTAGAGACAGGGCCCTTCAGTGCTGGAAAGGAGTTGGGGGTTGTCCCGGGGTCGATGGTTCAGGAGGCAGACTGCCCTCAAAATCCAAGTCCGGCGGGCTCCCGCAGCGCTGCAGATGTACGGCTGCCGACAGTTCTACTCTCGATCCAAAATGATTCATCTGACAGAGCTGTCCTCAGTCAGTTGCAAGAATTAAAACTGCCACTCTAACATAGCTGAAGAAGTGTGCATGCACACAAAGGCTTTAAACCTTATTGGTCTTCAAGGTGCCATTGAGTATCTGAAGTGTGCATGCAGGCAAAAACTATAAAGATAAAGGTTTCCCTTGCTCAAAAGCCAGTTGAATCCGACTCTAGGGGGCCGTGCTCATCTCCGTTTCCTAGCTGAAGAGCCAGCGCTGGCCAAAGACTTCTCCGTGGCCGTGTGGCCGGCGTGACTAAACGCCGAGGCGCACGGAACGCTGTTACCTTCCCACCAAAGCGGTACCTATTTATCTACTTGCAATTTCTTGCTTTCGAACTGCTAGGTTGTCAGGAGTTGGGGCCAGAGATGGGAGCTCACTCTGTCATGTGGCACTCAGGTCTCGAACTGCTGAATTACTGACCTTCCATTGAGTATCTGAAGTGTGCATGCACGCAAAAGCTTATACCCAATATTAAACCTTGTTGGTCCCAAAGGTGCCATTGAGTACCTGAAGAGGTGTGCATGCACGCGAAAGCTTATGCCCAGAATTAAACTTTGTTGGTCTTAAAGGTGCCACTGAGTATCTGAGGAAGTGTGTGTGTATATGAAAGCTCATACCTTGATTATAGAGATGTAAAATTTCCGGAAATTTTGAAGGTCGGGGAAAAAACCATTTTTTTCTGGGTTTTTTTTTGGGGGGGGAAGAAATTTTCAGAAAAATTGAAAAAAAGCTACATCAGTACTTCTTTTTTTTTCCAGATTGAAAGTCATTCTGTTACTTTAGGAACATAAGATATGACTATGGACATTTTTACTTGGCATGAAATTATCACAACTAGCACATTAAAAATATAGTGTACCCAAACAATTATTACAAACAGAATACCCACCCACATGCAAAAACAAAACTGAAACCTTTTTCTTTTCTTGTGACAACAGCACCTCCTAAAGGAAGAAATGCATCTTGTTCTTGCATTGGAGAGTTCAGTTTGTAACCTAGGACTTACTTGTCCTCAGTGCACAGAAATTAGTTCAATCTGATACCATATATATTTTTCAGAAATGATTTGGAAAACATTTGAACACCTTGTCTTAAAATATTTTATTCATCATGTTAAAATAAAACGTTCCATAATCAATTTCTTTTCTTTTTTCAATCTTTCCAGTTTTTTTCCCGGGCCTTCACATCTCTAACCTTGAATCAAACTTTGTTGGTCTCTAAGGTGCCGCTGGACTCACACTTCGTTCTGTTGCTTCAGACCAACACGGCTACCCCACCTGAACCAAACTCAACATTGATTAAGACTGAGCTGTTAAGCCAGAATTGTGGGCAGCAGAGTAGTAGGGATGACTTAGGGAGCGAAGTTTAAAGGGTTGCGATGACAAGGCGAATAGGGAGACAGCTGCCTTCAGGGGCTAAGCCATGAGTCTGAGAAGTCAACAGAGGGGGTGCCCTTCTGGGCCAGGGGAAAGTCAATCCTGTCGAAAGATAGATGTTAACTTAATATTAAAAAAAAGAGTTTCAGGTCGGCAGCCGTGTTGGTCTGAAGCAACCAGGGGTCATTTCGTAGAAAAAGAGGTGCAGGAGCTCATTAGCATAACTCATTAGCATAACATTTGCCTATGCCACACCCCCTGACATCACCGGAAGTGTGTCAGAAGGCAACACCCACCCCTCAGGCTCCACTGGACTGTTTTGGATTGCTAGCTATTGGGGGGGGGGATGTGCAGATCTGTCCTCACAGAGGAGGGAGAGCTTGTACCTGAATAAAACTTGGTCTTAAAGGTGCCACTGGACTGTTTTGGACCGGGGGGGGGGCATCTGCAACTTACCTGGCTGCTTCTTGCTCTAGAAGAAGAAGAAGAGATTGGATTTATACCCCGCCCTTCACTACCCAAAGGTGTCTCAGAGCAGTTTACAAACTCCTTTCCCTTCCCCTCCCCACAACAGACACCCTGTGAGGTAGGTGGGGCTGAGAGAGCTCTGACAGAAACTGCTCTTTTTTTCAAGGACAGCTCTTATCAGAACTACGACTTGCCCAAGGTCATCCAGCCAGGTGCAAGTGGAGGAGTGGGGAATCAAACCCGGTTCTCCCAGATTAGAGTCTGCGTACTTAACCACAACACCAAACTGGCTCTAACTGAGGGCTGATGGGAGCAGGGGGTGGGGCTTGTTGCATGTGCCCGCCCCCTGTGCTCTTTACTGCCGGAGCTCCGCTCCTGTGCACTCCTGCAGGAAATGACCCCTGGAAGGAACAGAACAAAGTATTGAGTCCAGGGGCACCTTTAAGACCAACAAAGTTTAATTCTGGGTATCAGCTTTCATGTATGTATCTGAAGGAGTGTGCATGCACATGAAAGCTTCTACGTTGAATAAAACTTTGTTGGCCTTAAAGGTGCCACCGGACTCGGACTTTGTTCTGTTGCTTCAGACCAATACGGCTGCCCGCCTGAATCTATGTCCTATGTATGTATGTAAGTGCTATCAAGCCACAAGCCACTTATGGCGACCCCACTAAGGGGGTTTTCAAGGCAAGTGAGACGCAGAGGTGGTTGGCCATCGCCCACAGAGCCTTCCTTGGTTGAACTCTCATCTATTACCTAACGTTGCTTCGCTTTCGAGATCGGCCTCTACCATGCCGTCTTTTCTGGCAACCTGTCCTAAACAAGTTGAAAATAAATTAACGAAATAAAGTGAAAGGCCACCCTCTTTCTCATGATTTCGTAGATGACAGTTGGCTAAAGATTCAGGGGCTAGTAAGCTGGACTGATTGGTGTAGTGGTTAAGTGTGCGAACTCTTATCTGGGAGAACTGGGTTTGATTCCCCCACTCCTCCACTTGCACCTGCTGATGTGACCTTGGGTCAGTCACAAGCTCTGGCACAGCTGTTCCTGAAAGGGCAGTTTCTTTCAAGAGCTCTCTCAGCCCCACCCACCTCACAGGGTGTCTGTTGTGGGGAGGGGAAGGGAAAGGAGTTTGTAAGCCGCTCTGAGACTCCTCTGGGTAGTGAAGGGCGGGGTATAAATCCAATCTCTTCTTTTTCTTCACTGTAAGCGTAGCTTCTTACCATATGATTTACGACTGCAGGAAATTCAGTCCGGCTTGTGGGTAGATATAGTACTGCAACCTGAGAGCCAGTTTGGTATAGTGGTTAGGAGCGCAGACTCTAATCTGGGAGAACCGGGTTTGATTCCTCACTCCTCCACATGCTCTTGCTGGTGTGACCTTGGGTCAGTTACAAGTTCTTTCAGAGCTGTTCTCTCATCAGCAGTCCTCAAGAGAGCTCTCTCAGCCCCACCTGCCTCACAGGATGTCTGTTGTGGGGAGGGGAATGAGATTGTAAGCCGCTCTGAGACTCCTTTGGGTAGTGAAGGGCGGGGTATAAATCCAATCTCTTCTTCTTCTCTTCCGCAATAATGTCTTGCTGCCCCTGTGTGGTAGGATGTAACTATTATTGTCAGCCGCCTTGAACCACAAGGAAATGCAGGATATGAACGTTTTGGTAGATGAATTGATAACAGAGGGCGGTGTGCTGCAGGGAATATTGTACGGAAGATTCTCTCCACTCAGTTGGCGCTAACCTAGGATAATTTTTATTCAAATTGGTACCCCTCCCTCCCTATGGCAATAGGAGCACACACACACACCCCCGGGTGGCAAGAAGAGCGGGGCGGGCTTTGCCGGGGTTCTAGCAGCTCGGCCTTCCAGCAGCTGACGCACCGACCCCTCCCCCCATTGCAGGTACAACGCATACCGCACTCCAAACTTCCCGCAGTTCCGCACGCAGTACATCCGCCGGCGCAGCCAGCTGCTGCGGGACAACGCCCAAGCTGGCTACGACCCCTCGATCCGCAAGCAGTACCTGCGTCTGCGCAGCCAGCTCCTGGCCCAACGCTACGGCCCCCTCTCCGAGCAGAGCAGCTTCCGCGCCTACAGCAACAGCATCATCCGTAGCAGTCGCACGACCCTCGACCGCATGGAGGTAACCGCGGGCCGCCGTGCCCGAGGGCGACCGGGGAATCGGAGCCATACCAGCCTGCTGCTCGGGAGCTCGTGAGGGGGCTAATTTTGGGTGGGGAGCGGACAGCGGGAGTGTCGCCGAGGCGCTGAGTGTTAGCGCCCACTGTGAGGAGAGAACGACCCCTCCAAGCGTGCCGTTGTTCGCCGTACAAGATTCTCTGCGCTTCCGCTCCATGCAGCCCAGTGTCCCTTCCCACCGTTATCACGGCCTTGTGTATCCTGCGAACCTGCAGTGTACTGGTCCAAATTAAATGGGATGCAAAGATGCACTTGCTATAATTCTGATTCCACTAGTCAGGCTTTCAAAAAAAACCACAACCCCGTTTATGATAGGCTTGTGAAAAGGGGCTAGAAAAGAGTGATTAACACATGGAATTCACTGCCACAGGAAGTGGTGGCGGCTACAAGCATGGACGGCTTCAAAAGGGAATTAGATAGGCATATGGAGCAGAGGTCCATCAGTGGCTATTAGCCACAAGGTATAGATAGGGGCTCTGGGGCAAGTGATGCTCTGTCTTCTTGGTGTTTGGGGGAGGTCAATAGTGGGGGGGCTTCTAATGTCCTGGCCCCACTGGTGGACCTCCTGATGGCACCTGGTATTTTTTGGCCACTGTGTGACACAGAGTGTTGGACGGGATGGGCCTTTGGCCTGATCCAACATTGGCGTCTCTTGTGTTCTTATGTTAGAAAGGGAAGGGCCTCAAACAGGGAAGGGGATAACTTCTGTGTCCTCAGGGAGTTCTTCAGATATAGCTGATCAGGGCTATTTTTGGGCAGGAACGCACAGGAACGGAGTTCTGGCTGGCTCCTGAGTTGGCCACACCCAGCAGGAACCTATTAGCATAATAGGCCACACCCAACAGCAGAAACTCATTAGGATTGGTTACAGTAGGCGTGTGTGGCCTAACATGCAAATGAGTCCCTGCTACAAAAAAAAGGCCCTGGGTTTTGACAACAAACAAGGTAAACAGAATAAGAAGCAAAAGGTGGGTGTGGCTGGATGACCACACTTCTGGCAACACGGGGCTGCGGCCTAATATGCTAATGAGCTGTGGTGTCAGGGTGTGGCCTAATATGCTAATGAGTTTCAGCTGTTGGGTGTGGCCTATTATGCTAATGAGTTCCTGCTGGGCTTTTTCTACAAAAAAAGCCCTGTGGCTGATGGATCAGCAATCATGAGGACTGGAAAACGGGCAAACAAAAAGCCCCGCATGGCTTGGGGCTGAGGTCTCTGAAGGACCGTCTTCTCCGTCCCGTGTTCTTGTCCAAGGATAAAGATCACAGGGCCGGCCCCTCCCGAATGTCCCCCCCCAATCGTAGAAGCTGGTATAGTGGGCACAGGAGAGAGGGCCTTTTCAGTGGCGGCCCCGTGGTTACGGAACAACCTCCCCAGGGAGGTGTCCCTGTCCCCCTCACTTTCGATCTTCAGGAGGCAGCTGAAGACGGTCTTATTTACGACTGCATCTGGTGAAGTCCTGGGTGGTGATTTTCAATTTGGGGTTTGGTGTATTGCATGTATTTTATGTGTGTTTCATCTGTGTCGTCACCTGCCTTGAGCTCCCAGAGGAAGAACGATAATGTTTTAGATTTATTTTAAAAAGAAGAAACTAAGTACTGTATTCTAGATCCTGGTTTCCTCTAGCACTGCCTTGCCCATCCCTCTTGTATGAGAGTTCCCTTCCCTGGATCCCTGCCCAGCTGGGGCATTTGTCCAGCCCTCCTTCTAGCATATCCTGTTTTCACGTGTAACTGTCTGTCGAATCACAGGATTTTGATGACGACCCAAGAGCTTCTGGTGAAGTCCTGGGTGGTGATTTTCAATTTGGGGTTTGGTGTATTGCATGTATTTTATGTGTGTTTCATCTGTGTCGTCAACTGCCTTGAGCTCCCAGAGGAAGAACGATAATGTTTTACGTTTATTTTAAAAAGAAAAAACTAAGCACTGTATTCTAGATCCTGGTTTCCTCTAGCAGTGCCTTGCCCGTCCCTCTTGTATGAGAGTGCCCTTCCCTGGATCCCTGCCCGGCTGGGGCATTTGTCCGGCCCTCCTTCTAGCATATCCTGTTTTCACAGGATTTTGATGACGACCCAAGAGCACTGGGCGCCCGTGGCCACCGCCGCTCTGTCAGCCGAGGGTCCTACCAGCTGCAGGCTCAAATGAACCGAGCCGTCTACGATGAGCGGTATGAGACCACCAGAGGTTTGATCTGGGACGCGAGTGGGCCCGGGAACACACACACACCCCCGTTGATCTCCTTGGTTGCACACCGTTCATTTTGATTATGTAGTATACCAGTCCCCAACCTTTTTGAGCCTGTGGGCACATTTGGAGTTCTGAGAGAGCATAAGGGACGCAGCACAAAATGGCTGCCACGGGAGGTGGAGCAAGCCCCAAAAGGCCTGCTGCAGCTTACTTTCAGTCACACTGTGAAGACCCTTGTGCTGTAGCGGCAGCAGCTATCAATTTGATGTAGTGGTTAAGAGTGACGGACTCTGATCTGGAGAACCGGGTTTGATTCCCCACTCCTCCACACGTGGCCAGCTGGGTGACCTTGGGTCAATCACAGTTCTCTCAGAGCTGTTCGCTCAGGAGCCGTTCTCGAAAGAGCTGTCTCAGCCCCACCCACCTCACAGGGTGTCTGTTGTGGGGAGAGGAAGGGAAGGAGGTTGTAAGCCGCTCTGAGACTTCAAGCGAAGGGCGGAGTATAAATCCAATCTCTTCTCCTTCTTCAAAAATCTGCACAGCCAATCAAATCTTCAGTGGCCCGTCTGAAGCCTTACTAGGCAAAAGCCTCACCTGGACCCATCTACTTTCCAAAAGCACCTGGTGGGTGCCAGGAAAGATGTCAGCGGGTGCTGTGGCACCCACAGGCATCATGTTGGGGACCTGGATGTAGAGGATGAGCAAACAGTGGTCATAATCAAGATGTCTGAACTTGGTTCTCACCTCGAACTAGGAGTTGAGGTCTGAGGAAAGGCCTTTGTGCTGCCTCCGCCTCCCCTGTTAGAAATGTAGCTCCTGGAGTGCCCCCCCCTTACCTGGAGAGCCAGTCTGGTGTAGTGGTTAAGTGCAGAGACTCTAATCTGGGAGAACCGGGTTTGATTCCCCCACTCCTCCACACACAGCTGCTGGTGTGACCTTGGGCAAGCCATAGTTCTGTCAGAGCTGTTCTTGAAAAAGAGCAGTTTCCATCAGAGCTCTCTCAGCCACACCTCCCTCACAGGGAGTCTGTTGTGGTGAGGGGGAGGGAAAAGAGTTTGTAAGCCGCTCTGAGACACCTTTGGGTAGTGAAGGGTGGGGTATAAATCCAATCTCTTCTTCTTCTTCTTTTACCTCACAGGGTGTCTGTGGTGTGGAGGGGAAGGGAAAGGAGTTTGTAAGCCGCTCTGAGACTCCTTTGGATAGTGAAGGGCGGGGTATAAATCCAATCTCCTCCTCCTTTTACCTCACAGGGTGTCTGTGGTGGGGAGGGGAAGGGAAAGGAGTTTGTAAGCCTCTCTGAGACTCCTTTGGATAGTGAAGGGCGGGGTATAAATCCAATCTCCTTCTTCTTCTTCTTCTTCTTTTACCTCACAGGGTGTCTGTGGTGGGAAGGGAAAGGAGTTTGTAAGCCGCTCCGAGACTCCGATGGGTAGTGAAGGGCGGGGTA